CGGCGTGCTAGGGCCCCGTCCCCTGCCCGTTCTCAGGATTTGTACTGTTTTCTGTTGGGTTGGTGGTTTTGTAAAGGCTGTGGGATGGTTTGAATTCAGGAGTGCTCTCATTGTTTGGCATCCGAGTTAAGTTTGTCTCTTTTTGTCTGTTTTGTTCCCACCCACCCCCTCCACTAACTTCAGCCTTTCTCTTGTGTTTGTTGGCTGATGAGTTTGTCTCTTTGTCTGGATTCAGACAGACACTGCGTCACCGCCTGACACACAGACTCTGAGATAACATCACAGTGGCACACAGAGGGGGGAGCGAGGAGAAGACGGAGGGAGGGTGGAGAGACAGATGTACAGACAGAACTGGCAGAGGGGGATGGGAAACGCGCTTACATCAATCACAGGCTGACTGCCGTGAAGCCGCTCTGTTGTAGCCGTTAATAGTTTAACGCAGATATCCCTCATGCAAGTCTTCTGTCCTTGTAGATACTCCCAAACACCCTTTGAAACCATCTGAGGATGCTGGGAAAGTATGGGGTGCAAACTCTTGACAACCTTTGGTGATTAGTAGTTGATGTAAAATATTACATCCGTCGGCTGTTGTTTTTCAGATGGGAAAACAACATGTGGTGGAGCTCAAATGTAGACTAAAGCTTGCTGAAGTTCTACACAATGAAATTATAAAATCAGGCTACGTTTACACGACAACGATGATGTAGTCAAAAACGGAAAAGTTTTTCCCTCGCGTTTTTAAAAAGTTTCAGTATACACGACAACGTTTTCAAAACGATTAGCGTTTACACATATCCGGCGAAAACGGCTAAAAACGCTGTATTACGTATGCCAGGCCAGTAGTTGGCGCTGTCACCTTGTTAGTAAACAGTACCTGTAGGGAAGTGACGATTATATGTTGTATAAGATGCGTCTCCTCTGTTGGTTGTAATATTGGTGAAGTAAATCCACACTTTGCTGAAGAAGTGTTAGCAAACTCTTGAGCAGCAACAACAGTACCATGTACTCCGCCATTGTTGTGTATGTTTGTTCGTGCTTGCCTTTAAAATCGACACGTACTGCGCATGTCTACATACCTACGCCTGACGTCACCACTTTCAAAGATTCCCGTATGGGGTGTTTACACGGAAATGATAACGGTGCCGTTTTCAAAAACATCCACTTTGAAACCCGTTTTCAAAAATATGCGTTTTCAGTCCCCAAAACGCCGTTGTCGTGTAAACGAACAGGCAAAACGCATAAAAAGTTGACTGTTTTTGGCTGAAAACGTTGTCGTGTAAACGGCCCCTCAGATTGTAGTCCACTTTGAACTTGGTCTAATAGTTTTTATCAGCTGCCTTGATCAGAGGCAAACATCACTGTTACTACTGCTTATATAGAGTTATGAGATAGTTCATCCAAAAATGAAAATTTGGTCATTATTTACTCAGCTTCATGTCATTCCATTCGTTCTTCTTTTGACCAATGTCTCAGATTTTCTTTTTTTGTACATACACTCTTAAAAACAACGGTTCCAACAAAGAGTTTTCACAACGATGCCATAAAAGAACTACTTTTGGTTCTAAAAAACCTTTTTCCACTAAAGAGAACCTTTTGTGGAATGGAAAGATTACACGCTCTCAAAAAGTAAAGTTTTTTTATTGGCATTGATGGTTCCATAGAACCGTTCCATTGCAAAAAATTTGCCTTGCAAAAAAGGTTCTTTAGATTATTAAAAAGAAAGAAAATCGTGGTTCCTCTAAGAACTGTTCACCGAAATGTTCTTTGTGGAACCCAAAATGGTTCTTCTATGGCACTGCTGCAAAAACATCCTTTGAAAGCCTTATATTTAAGAGTGCATGGATGTTAAAGGTTCTTCATGGAACCATTGATGGCAAAAAAATAACCTTTATTTTCAGGAGTTTACAATGGAAATTAAGAGTCATTAGAACGGTTTGGTTACCAACATTCTTCAAAATATCTTTTGTTTGTGTTTAGCAGAAAGTCACAGAGGTTTGGAATGACATGAGGGTGCCGAGTAGCCTACATGTCGACATTCATTTTTGGGTCAACTATATCCCTATAAGGATTTTAGAAGAAAAAAAAAATGGATGCATTGATCAAATGACTATGCAATGCATAAAAAGATTTCTTTTTCTGTATAAATGTATTTTTTGAACAACTGGAGTACCTTATTTTGTTGTCTGTGTCCTAATAGGGATACAAGAGCATAGAAGACTGAAAGACTTGTCATTGTTCAAGCCAATGAAGAGCTGTCATCAGACGATTGATGATCTTGTGTGGATTGATGTCCAGTTAGATACAGGAGTTCAATTAAATGTCCATGTTATATTTTGGTTGCATTTGTGAGTTAAAGAAATTGTAACTGGTTGCGTAAAATAGGTACATAATATCAATACATCAATCGCAGGCCCCTGAATGTTATCAAAATGTAATCATATTGCAGCAGGTGTCTGCAAATATTGTATCGCTGGTTTAGAAAATCAATGTCAATTTGTATCTTAATGAAACAACCTATTTTCACCACTACTAATGTACACTCACTGTGTGCTGTAGTAATACCCATAAATCATGGTTCTAACCTTGATCTCCAAAATCAAAATTGGCCAGAGAGTGATTCATCTTTTCTGAATCATTCAAACATTGAGTTTGAGAAGTTTAGCTTACAGGTATAAAATAATATACACTGCTGTTGAAATGGAGTAGAGATTTGGACCTGGAAACATTATTATCAGAAGGTCAATTTGCCAAATCAGGCGTTACTTTTACGAGAGATACGACTCGATAAAACAGGTCGAAATATCGGAGACTTGGCCCTCCAGCAACCACATAGCAACACGCTTACAACAATTATGAAGACGATAGCAACACCTCATCAACCTTCCAGAACACTGTATCGTGTTGCACTGGCACTTGAAAGCATAAAACCTGGTTTTATTCGTATGCTGGTTGCCGTTCATGTTACCGATTAAAGCAGCTTTGCAGAAGGTGTTTGGAGTAATGGGATGCATGCAGAGGGAAAAGCATCTCCGTGTGGGCGTATGGAGTGCTTCTGGAGGAGATGATTCTTACATTAGAGGCACGGACTCGGCACGCAGGAGATGCAGGCTGTTTCCTCTGGGACTGCAGTGTGTGTTGAGTTGAGCGTGTAATGTGGGGGTTGGTGAGCGTGAGGTGGAGTGTGCGTGTTTGTAATGTGTTAATGCAGCATCAACTATTGTTCTGATCACACACCACCGCAGCTCTGGCCTCTGTTGTTGATGCGGTCCGTCTTTTCTTTGAAATTCAAAATTGAAGGGAGAATTATTCCGATTTGGGCTTTTTGATGTACATCTAAGATTCTTTTTGGTGACACTTTCCTATGAAGCCTGTATTGATAATGCATTACAAGGGCATTCAATTATAATGCTAGCGTAATGCCTTATATACATAAAAAACAGTAACACTTTACAGTAAGGTTCCATTAGTTAAACATTATTTAATGCATTGACTAACAGTGAGCAAAACACTTGTTATAAAACAGATAGTTTCCGGTCCTTGATTCTGATTGGTTGAGCCGTGTTCGTGTTCCCATTCATGGCTGTTTAAAGAAGATTCCATTTGTATTTATTTATTTATAGCAGACAAATATACATATTATGACCACATTATAAAGACTTTGGATGTTTACAAGATTTCTATGTCTAGATATAACACTTATAATACATTAAAAAAGAAAATTGTCATTAATCACCATGTCGTTCCAAACCCGTAAAAGCTTCGTTCGTCTTCGGAACACAATTTAAGATATTTTGGATGAAAACCGGCAGTCACAAGCCTCCAAAGTAACTTACACCGTCAAGGTCCAGAAAAGTATGAAAGACATCGTCAGAATAGTCCATCTGCCATCAGTGGTTCAACCGTAACGTTATGAAGCGACGAGAATACTTTTTGTACGCGAAGAAAACAAAAATAACGACTTTATTCAACAATTCGTCTCCTCTGTGTCTCTCCGCATCACCGTAGCACCATTTTGGAGAATAACCGCTGAACGCAAGCAGCGTACGCTCTTCTGTGTCAGCCGCGACACACGGATACGTTTTCTACGTGTATTTATGCTTTGGTTTAAACGAAAACAGAGCATCCGTGTGACGTCGTCGTTATTTTTGTTTTCTTCGCATACAAAAAGTATTCTTGTCGCTTCATAACGTTACGGTTGAACCACTGATGGCAGATGGACTATTCTGACGATGTCTTTCATACTTTTCTGGACCTTGACAGTGTAATTTACTTGGCAGTCAATGGAACAGTCACAAGCCTCCCGGTTTTCATCCAAAATATCTTAAGTCCCGAAGACAAACAAAGCTTTTACGGGTTTGGAATGACATGGTGATTAATGACAAAATTTTTGGGTGGAGTATCCCTTTAAGTGGATATAACGTGTTCATTGTGTGTTATTTTAAGTCATCATACATAAGGCAGTATGTATGCATTATAATGCCTTAAGAATACCCTTATAATGCATTAGAAATACAGCCTACATAGAAAGTGTTACTATTTTTTTTCTTCTTCATAGAAACAACCAGAATTCAGATTTACACTAGATACCTGTTACATTATTTGTTGTGAGAATACAGGTATTTCCCTCTAGCAGTTTGGCCTAAATAATATTTTACAATATGAATGGGTGTTTGCACGATCACTCATGCAAGCCACAATAAAGGGATATTTTAACACTAAACAACACTGAACCCCCCACTGAATTTTAATGTATGGGCAAAAAAATACTGATTCATTCTCCTGAATGTCTTTTGTGTTCCACAGGTTTAGAACAACATGAAAGAATTGTAATATTTGGTTGAAAAAGCAGAAAGTAATAACAGTCATGAATGATGCCACAAATCGTATCTATATATTTGGCGACAAAACAACAACAAAGTCTTATATTTAAGAAGCGACCGGAGTTGGGCCTGTATGCAACAACCTAGCAATCACCCAGAAATGCACAAAAACTCTCCTAGAAACCACATAGCAATGCTCTAGCAGCCAAAGCAGAAAAGCCCTTAAAAACTAGTTTGAAATATAGTGGCATTCTCAATGACCATGTCGTTTCACTTACAGGGCCTTTTCACACGACTGGGTTGTCCGGCCCGCGGCTCACTTTTGAGATGGATGCTAGAGATGACTTCATTGAGGACGGGGAATGCCATAGCAACAACTCACAGGAACCTGAAGAGCAAGACAGCACAAGTGGTGAGACACACTACTCGCGACTGCATGTCTGTCTTTGAATTTATTTATAGATTTGCTTACTGCACATAAAATATTAAAAACAGGGAGACAGCTGTGATTGTTTTGTGATTGTAGTGTTGAGACAAAGGCAAGGTGACCTGTGATGGAGCCATTGATAACATTATGAACTAAATTTTTTCCCCTGTGCTGTCAGACGACGGTGATAGTGATTTTGATAAAGACGACGACTCAAATGCCTCTGCTGATGACAGCATGACGAGTAATAAGAGCAGCCACGGCCCCATACTACATGATGACGTCAAGGAGGTGAGTGACGGATGTTTAATGTAAGAAGTAGATGGTTGTGTGATTATCTTGCATTCTTCTGTTATCATGATTTGCATGACAACATTGTCACAGACAATGCTCAGACAACTGTTTTTACTGTAAAATAACTTGAAAAGAAAAAAAAAATCAGCTTTGATCAGTTCTTTAATTTTAATCATTCACAAACAGATTGTAAAATGTGACCCTGGACCACAAAACTTCATATGGACAACTTATTAAAAGGCGATTTTCTCAATATTTAGATTTTTTATTTTTTTTGCACCCTCAGATTCTAGATTTTCAAATAGTTGTATCTCGGCCAAATATTGTCCTATCCTAACAAACCATATATCAATGGAAAGCTTATTTATTCATTATGTATAAATCTCGATTTCAAAAAATTGACCCTTATGACTGGTTTTGTGGTCCATGGTCACAAATGTGTTTCAAATTACATTAAAACATTCCCCATATTTTTGTATTTTGTGGACTCGTTTTTCACAATATTTGAGATTTTTTTTGACCAGCTTTGCATGCTTTTCATGTGATTTCTGGCCCATTCATCTAAGCATAAAATATTTATATCATTAAAGTACAAATACATTTTTTTTCAGTCCCTCTTTATATTAAGTGGCCTTAACTACTATGTACTTACATTTAAATTAATCATTTGGTACAATGCACTTATTGTATACACATACATGTTTTTACATACTTTAAAAAAAATACCTTTATGTAATTACATCTGTAAATAATTTCTGTAATTACATTTATAATTGACTCATCCCTTACTCCTTAACCCACCCTTAAACCTACCCATACCACCAAACCTGTCCTTAACCTGACCCGTATCCCACCTCAATAGCAGCAAAAGTATTTTGCAATACAGTATGAACACAATAAGTACAATGTACTTATTTTTTAACGCAAGTACATAGGCCTAGTAGTTAAGGCCACTTAATATAAAGTGGGTCCCTGGATTGAGAAGAATAGCTTGGAAGAAGCCATCATTGGATTATATATATATATATATATATATATATATATATAGAGTTGTCAAAATTAGCGTGTTAATGCAGGCAACTAATTTTCCCAGTTTAACAGCAGTAAAAATGTTTAACTCAGTTACCGCAGGGGTGGGGACAACTTTTTTTTGTTGTTTTTGAGCTACTCCAAAGATTAATCAAATGCCTGTTTGTAGCAGATTTCCATTCTGAATTGATAATTGAATAAATTAAATGTGGAATTTTTAAAGGCCACTATACATGATTGCCGTTTTATTTACAAGTCTGTGTGACTTAATACAATTTTAAGGTGAAAAGCATGACAAAATTCTGTGTCATCCCACCTCAACGACTGCTGGCATCTTTAAGGGTCGATAGATATTTTTGTAGAGTGACTCATGGCTCTATAGCAACCCAGTTGACACGACAGTTGGAATGAGTCACGAGGGCTTATGCATTAATTTGTCTGCCACACCACTCAAGTGCTGCATAAGTCATCCACAGCTACAGTCATTAGCAGTTTCAGGGAATAGTCACTTGTGTGCAATCATACTATATAAAAAATATTACACTACATTTCAGACTATAAGTCTTGTTACTCATCGTTTTAACTGTTTGTTGGTGCATTATGTCTGTTAGGAGAACGAGGAGGGGACAGACCAGGGGAGCAGTTTTGCATGTCCTCTTTGTTCCCTGGAGTTCAGTAGCCCAGATCAGCTAATCGCACACGTCTATCAGGTGAGGACACCACTACCTAAGCCTATTGTATCTTTTAGACTTTTTTTTATGCCTGGTATTAAGATTTATCTTGGGTGATCCAATCACAAGTGGACAGTGCTAAATACATGTGTACTGGAGTCCAACACGTTTTGTGATCAAATCACTCAAACTACATTCAGAGCTTGTCAATTATGTGCAGATTGTGAAGCACACCTAAAGACTGGAATACATATGACTAAAACAATAGGCGACATATAGTTGCTGACTTTGTAAACGGTTACAGACAAAGACTAGGCATCATACACTAAACAACTGGAGATCACACAATAACAGACTTTAAAGTCATTCTGAACAACAAACTCTCACATGAGTGACGCATGAAAACTGTATGTGTACTAAAATCGGCTCACATCATGTTTTATATCCTTGGACTGGATGGAATCCAAATCTGAAACGAAAAATTGCAGTCTATGTCGATCGTACACTACACTAATTTCTGTGAAATGTCTGCGGCTCCCCAAAATTTGCCGACTGGCTCTTATTTTCAGCTCCTCCATTCTGGAAACCGGGCAAAAATCTATGCAAAAGTTGCTTAATATATTCCAAAATTATTTCATCATTCACTCAATCGTATGCCATTCCAAACCTGTAATACTTTCTTTCTTCCATGCAGGGAAATTATGAATAATGTACTAATTGCTCTTTTCAAACCATTTATAATGAATGGAGACTTATCAAATAATATGATTACTTTTCACCCTTTTTGAAGCTTGAAAGCTCTAGTCCCTATTGTAATTGCTTGGAAACAATGACCGGTACATTATTTAAAATCGTCTGGAAGATAGAAAAGTCATATGGATTTGGAACAACAAGTGAATAATGACCATTTTAATTTTTGGACTGTTTCTTTAAGTCTCTTCATTTGAGAAGAATTAATGTATGAAATCTTTTTGTACCTTATTTACTTTGATTAGCACACAGCTGTGGGTGGCAGTAAGAGTTATATCTGTCCTGTTTGTGGAAGAGCTCTCAGTTCTCCAGGCTCTCTTGGTCGCCATCTTCTCATCCATTCAGAGGACCGACTGTCCAACTGTGCTGTTTGTGGGGCTCACTTCACAGACACCAACAACTTCAACAGGTCAGTTCTTTACTCAAGACATGATTTTACTAGGATGCTGTGCTTCATTGTTGTTTCTAACGGTTTCCTGGTCTGAAATTGTAGGGAAAAGTTGAGGGAATTCCTCGACACAAGCAGTATAGAGATCAACAGTGAGGGCGAGGCCTGTGCCATGTCCAACTCTTTAACCAGAAGCACTATGACTAACCCCAACACAAATCCTGGTCCTGGACTGACCTCATTGCCAGATGGTCTTCTCCCTTCTGCACCTCCTCTTCCCTCACTCTCTGACAGCCTCAGTCCTCAAAGCACGGGACTTCCGCCTCTTCCAGACCTTATGAACCCTATGCCCGTGTACCCGGCTGGGGTTTTGTTGGTCTGCAACAGCTGCGTAGCCTACCAGCAGCTTGTGGACGCCCAGTCGCCGTCCATGCGGAAATGGGCGGTCCGTAGGAAGAACGAACCCGTACAGGTGCGGATGCATCGGCTTGAACGGGAACGAACGGCCAAGAAGACCAAGCGGGCATGTGAGACATCAGAGGAGCGGGAGATGCGCCGCTTACGAGACCGTGAGGCAAAGCGTATGCAAAGGATGCAGGAGACGGACGAACAGCGGGCACGTCGTCTGCAGCGAGACCGGGAGGCCATGCGACTCAAACGGGCCAACGAGACGCCCGAGAAGAGGCAGGCGCGGCTAATCCGTGAGAGGGAGGCCAAGAGGCTAAAACGACGCTTGGAGAAGATCGACCCATCGCTGAGAAACCAGATTGAGCATGACCCTGCTGCGATGGCTGCGCTCACTGCTGATATGAGTCTATTCCAGTTTTCCTTTCCCATGTCCGTCCCTTCCATGGACAATGGACTGTTTATGAAGCTTCCCTAACAAGCACAGCTCCAAACACCTCTCAGCCCAACATTTGAGAAGAATTTGCCATTCTTAAAGAATAACCATCTTGACCAAAGTTGTGATGAGAAGGTTATGGTCTTGCAGTTTCAAGGAGGTGCTCACCCTGACAGCGGTTTGCAGTGACGTAGGCACCAGATGTCTTTCACTTTCAAAGACAGATTTGAGGCAACACGAAAGACCGTGAGTTATGCAACAATGTTGTGCAGAGTTCAACTTGATGCAGACAGGCAGCAACACACATGGCGACTACCTGTGGGAGTGTAGATAATGAAGCTCATGTAGATAACATGTTCTGCTGCCTGATACACTTGGATATTGTAGTTAAGTACAGAAGTGATTCTACAGGATAGACAAGGCACTTGCTTTGGACCCCTAAGGGTGGCGGATTCGAGTAGTCAACAGCAAGAAGAAATAAACCTCCTGAAAAATAAAGCTTGGCAAGAGCCCCTCTAGGGGGCCTCATCTCATTAACTACGATCTCAGTGAAAAATCAAATGAAGAGTAGGCATCATGCAGATAATGTTCCCATCTGGTAGTCAGAAGAGAAAAGAGCCTGCGGCACCAGAGTCCCACAATCATTATCAGTCAAGTAGGAACACCTACTAGCGACCAAGACCACGCCGACTTGCCAAGCTCCAATGATTTAATTGCTGTCAGTGTGAACAACCCTTTATGGATTTCTATAACATATTACATAATTAACTGAACTTCTATAAGAAATTCCGACATTCACTGAAGGGAAAACCCTCTCAGTAAGCATGTTTTACTTTATTTTCAAGGCTCAGACTTTTAGCCGTCTTTCTTCAGAGCAGTGAGATCCTTCCAGAAGGAGGTTCTCTGTTTGCACACAGACCTACAGTGACAGGAGTGAGATGTGTAGCCACACTCCACACTCAGCCTACTGTTCAAATTTGCCAGTCTGAAAGGTTGGCGTTTACCTGCAACTATGGCTCACCTCCCAGAACCCAAGATTGGGTCAATACTAGCTCATACTCACAGAACCAACTACCTCACCATGGGATCCTTACATGGCCTAGTCACACCTGTGGCCTTGACCAGAACCACAGGGGTTGTGTAGGTCCACATACTGACTCAATGTTCCCTATGCCAACACACTCTTGTCCAGTGGTGTAGTCCTCTAGTCCTGCTCCTGGAGGGTTCATCCTCCAGAGTTCACCCCTGAACCATCTAATCAAGGTATTCAGGGTTACTTGAAACCCCCAGGCAGGTGTGTTGGAGTAGATTGGAGATAAACTCTCCATGATGTTTGCCGTCCTAGAGCAGGATTGGACACCCCTGGTATAATCATTGCCCTACATGTTCGCCGAAACAACTACACTTTATTTAAATGCTGTTTGAGAGCCGCTGACCCAAATGCTGAAATCTAAGTGGGCTTGTGGTCTTTGCTTATACAGACCATAGGTGTCCTACTTGTCAAGATTTACAAGGATATACCACCTTTGCAGCCACTGTGTCCCTCAATGCACCCTTTAGTTGAGCCCAACCTGGTGCAGACTTTGGAAACGGACAACTAACTGACAGTCTGTGTGGCATTTTATCACTTAAGTGTGGACTCCACTAAAGACTTCAAGGGCCGAGGGTGCCATTTGGGACAAGGCCTCTATTGGAGACTTTGTCCTTTTTTAAAAGAGGAAGGTAATTTCTGCGGATGTACTGTTAAATACTAAAAGTATCCGTTTCAAAGCACATTCAGACACACTTCTCTGACCTCCCAAAGGCTTTATACTTTATCACAATGCTACACGGGTTGATATTTGTCTAGGAACTCAGGGATGGTGTGGATCACCGGCATCCTCCTGAGAAAACAGAGGAGCAGGAGACCTCCTCTTCCTCATTCTTCATCATCATCACCACTTGCTCAGATAATATACTACCTTTTACTCACCTTTACTGGTCACATTGGCCTTTTTTTCCTCTTGTTCAGACTGCAAACTCCTCACCTGAGCCAAAATGTCAATATGGATATTACGCAACTCCATGACGTCTCAACTAACCAACCAGTCTCTGCCCTCTGCTGCTGTCACTGTACTGTATAACGTGTATGTTACCTCTTTAAACCAGTGTGGTCCCGCACTGGACCTGGGAATGCTTGTGGTTAATGGTGAGGCACTTAGTGTGTGCTCGATCTCTGTGGCAACATAAGTAGTGTATAAATTCAAACTGTTGCCTTTGTCACTGGAAAGTTTGTGCTTTGGTTTTATATTTAATGATTTAAATGAATTTGTGTGCTAATTCTATGAGATGTGCAATGATGTAAAGGTTTAGCAAATGCATGTACAATGAAACAATCAGGATGAACACTTCCAGAGAGAAATCCCTCCTATATGAAGCAGTGATGACTCTGCATATGTACAAATTTAAATGACAAGGTAAAGACACATTCGCCAACGTTTCACACTAATTTAAAGGTGAAGTGTGTAATTTCTGCTCAACATCTGATGGCCAAAATAACACTTGCATCCCAAGCACTGCCCCCTGTCTTCCATTATTCACCAAACAGGTACCCCCACCAAAAATTCTAACCAATTCAGAAGTTGCAAAGCACCGCAAAAGCAAAAACACTGCAGTGTTTATGGTAGTGGTTCTTACATTTTTGGGTTATCCACTTCAAGAGTAAAACAAAAACAGCAGACCACCAAATTTCATTCAGTGGTGTAATTCAATGCCCTTTTCACCAATTCTGTCATGAGCCACAGTAAATTTTCCAGAAGGCTGTTTTGTTCCTTTTTATAGAAATGAACGTTTCTTTTAGCTAATAAACTGATGAGCCGACTGTTTGCTAGCTAAGAAATTGGACCAAATGTTTACGTACACTTGACAACAGACAACAAACCCTTAAGAATAAAATGAGTGTCAATTCATTATGTTGGTTAATTCAATGTTGTTCAATTATTTATTCAAGTCTTTTTATTGACTAAACTCGCAGACAACAGTTTCAGAACCACTCTACAAGTTGAGAGAACATTGCACACGTCACCTTGAAACTTTACTCGCTTCTCAGCGTTTCATATTGGGCGAAAGGGTCAGTCATGTTAAAACGGACCACTGTACATCTGTAAGTACCTCTTGGAAACAGGGTAGACCGTGTGTGTATGATATGTATGTCTTATATTTCATTCCAATACTTATTACAATTTATTTATTACTACAGTGAATGACGCACATTTCAGTGTTTTAAATTCACAATGTTGTCATTACCTTCTATAGAGATACCTCTAATACTCAAAGCGAAGCAGCTGAGCTTTCCCGCACAGTTGAAGGCAACTGGATACTGGTCCCACGTTTATGCTGTCGTGAAGTATTAATGATGGGCTCCTTAAGTAAAAGAAAGGATTTAATGTACATGTGATGAAGCATCACTATGCAATTGAGAGCTGTACTCAAGAAACGTTGTATTACTACTATGCAGTTGATATGAAAGTAAATGGACTCAAATGCTCCAGATCACAAACCTCAGGCAACTCTTGACAGTCAAGCCATTGGTCCTCAAGCCTGTAACCCTCGACCACCAGATCCATCCTTAAGTTTTGTTTTCAGTTACTTCCTTGATAAGGACCGAGTTGATGTTGATGCACATTCAGGAAGAACAATGCAATTTTTATGACCCAATTCCCTGAAATTCATTATAAAGCACTGAGTTATTTTATACAGTAGCATTAAAGATGTGGAAACCCATCCTGATGCAATGAGAAAATCAAATGATTCTCTGTATTCCAGAACGAGATGTTGGCAGGATGCATTGTCTATTTTGAAGAAAAAATATAAAAGAGTATTTTCAAACATTAACCCCATTTAGTCTGCATTATTCCCAAACTAGTATTTTTTAGTGGTATGCATTGCCATGTGACATGTTATGTATTAAACAACCATTTTCTTTTGCATGTCTGTGTATATATATATATATATAAGTCGGTAAACCCCTGGAAATGGAACTTGCATGTTATAAAATACATGTTCTAAATGCATTTATACAAGCTTTTCATTAAGGATTGGAGTTCAGTAATGACTTGCCTTCTTGTCAGTCTATCTAGATTTTTTCATGATAATGTTTACAAATCTAAAAGGCCAAAATGAATGAAACTTAAAAGTGACAAGGTCACAACGCCAAATGGTCCTGTTCAGAAAGCCATGCTCTGTTATTGGGTTAACAGATTGAAAGCTCATCATAAAAGCAGGAACAGAATGTGGAATAAACACTGACTTTACGGCTACGAGTCTGTTTCTGTCTTTCTCTCTTGAAAAAATGTATACATATGTAAACTGAGATTAAAACATCTGAGACCACACTGAAAATCTGGTATTCAAAAATTGTCATGCTGATAATATTATTTGTAACAATTTTGTTTTACAAATTGTCTCAGACTTTCAGGCCCCACTGTAATAAAAAGATGCACTGTAGTTGATATAATGCATTTCATCTGAAATTTGATCAGAATACATTTTGATTCATTTATCTTAAATATTTTCAAAAGCATGCTGAAAAACAATTTAACCCCTTGTGGAATATTAAAAAATAAAATAAAATAGCAATACACAAAGTTGTATATTCAAAGACTCAAGGGTTGTATTTCAAAAAACAAATTTTTTTAATGAATGCGTAATACTTCGAGTATTATTGTAATCATAATCTAATATTAAACTCTGCATTGTATTCTTCAGGTGCGTCGATGCACTATTACAACTCTATTTATTACAATTACCAATTGAATAGAACGCATATGAAAAAATAGACGTCAAGCCAGCATGTTAATATTATATAGATATATATTATATTGTGTTTACTTAACAAACATGATAAATGCAATGTTTCCAAGAAGTTAGCTGTAACAATAAAAATACAATATCTTTGTGTCATTACAGAGAATTAAAACAGGAAAACAAAACAGCCCTAAGTAGTTCACAGAGAGGTACAAATATACAGTACAAATCTATTTTATTCAAAAAAGGGTACAAATAAAAACGCAACAAAATATAGTTATTAATGCTTTGTAAAGTTCAGGTAGGTGTAGGGTAGTCTAAGGGAGCACTTTGGGTAGACAACTCTAAGGCTTCTGAGAAGAATTAATACATATTGGTACGGCCATACGATATTAAAATGTACTATACAAAGTTTATACAACCTGGATTATACTTGAGGATTGAATATTACACATACATCGTTGCATATATTTCGCAGATTTTATGCATTAAACAAAGATGCCATTTCTTTTAAAACTGGTCACACATCACATAAAAAGCAGTGTCACTTAGTGCCAAGAAGAACAATGTCAAATTCGAGAGTATATAATGACTCCTTTAAAACCTTGAAACCGTTACAAACCTGATTTCAGCCGACATTACTGACTCTGGCCTGCCGTGCCACCGAATTCTGTCTGGGATTTACACAAAACCACCATGTGTTGGCTTCATAAAGCCTTACAAAACAATATATACATTTTAAAAAAAATCAATTGTAAGCAATGATACCACTATAACGCACTGAAATGTTACTGAGCTGCACATTCATCCATAACCCAGACGGTTATCCTCGAGTGGGTTCAGTCGTTCTCACACTTCACAAACTATGACATGTCAGCTCAAAACTCGCCATTCGCGCCGACAGTCAACAGCGAGACTAAATGGACTTCTGTAAAATATGTCCCAGAACTCTCAGCCAAAACTATATCAATAACTGCAGATAATCTCGCTTTGTCCGCAGCATCTTCTAACAAAGACTCCAATAACTGTAGCTTTCACTCACTTCCTCAAACCACTTTAATGAAGAAAAAGCAAGTTCCAGTGATAAAGAGCTGGTAGTTTGTTTGTTTTTCTTTTTTAAAGCATACAACATCCATTTTTATCTCAATAGTAATGCGGATTAAGAAAAGAAATATCTTTGTAATATTTCAAATACAAAATTTCGAGGCCATTTGATTTTGGGGCAAAATATGGTTTTGTCAGTGTTGGGGAGTAACTAGGTACATGTAACGGCGTTAAGTAATTTAGATTACAAAATAAAAGTAACTGTAATCCATTAGTTACTTGGGGGGGGGGGGAGCGTGTAATTAAATGAGTTACTTAAGAAAATGTTAACGACTACAAAGGGGGCTACATCTGAATATTATCAGTAAAAGCTAAGATGTTACATAATATTAATTTGTTGCTTTGCCTGTTTTTTGTTTTTTTTTTAAGATTAAAATTTTTGGCATTTTTATTTTGATAGGACAGTATAGCAGTGACAGGAAGCAAGTAGGAGGGGGGGGGGATCGGGAAAGGTCCACGAGCTGGGACTCGAACTCGGGACACCCGGAGCACTATATGCCCAAAAGGCTATTGGCGCCGACGCGTTGCCCGTTTTTGATTTACACGATGCCTCCGGCCATTTATAGGCCATTTAGAAAAAGCGATGCTATTCTAATGCTTTCGATTGGTTCTCATCAATCCACATTGCCACTGAAAGCTTTAGGCTACAACCTGTCTGAGAGTTGATTAACTGATTAACAGTTGAAAACATTCCTTAGAAATTTAGAGAAGCAGCCTAATCAAAAAGCAATTGTTACATTAATAAAGTCATTGAAATCGTTACACTACTTATTACATGTTAAATAGGGTAACTTGTAATCGGTAACCTATTACATTTCCAAAGTAACCCTCCCAACACTGGGTTTTGTGAGATTCGTACATCACGAGCACTGAGGAAGTGAAGGAAGATGTTTCCGAGCTAGAATCAGGGATGTCAACAGTGCAAAGCATCAGTCTTTACTTCTGCCCTACTAACAAGAGCAAAATATAAATACAACATTAAAGATTTAGAACGTTATGTAAAGCTAACATTGTGTTCAACAAAGATACACATTATGAGCTAGTCCCAAAATATCGTCTTACAATCAGTAAGTGCAATGTCACTAATTGATGTCAGTGAGCCACCTTTACAGAGGAGTCCACGGTCACAACAACTAGAGACTTTGTCTCCATGTGAAATCGTGCGACCTTGCAGAGCGGGGAGCCACTTCTACACAGCGTTTACGAACGGTGCACATCTTAAGGCGTTATTGACAAGCTAATACTATACAAAACTTATCTTCATATCTGTACAAGCATACAAATGTTGGATGATTGTTTTACGTGGTTTCAAATGATGGCAAAACATTTACCGTAACACTACAGGTGAGTGGAAATAAGTGCCGAACATTTCATTGCATCAAAGTGACAAACGTCTATGTTATATGGTTAGGTGAGGCTCTATGGAAGAACAACATGGGATTCCCTAACTGCAAAAAATAACAGGGCGTCTGCACACCAGATATCCTTTGATTTCAATGGGGAACGTGAAAAACCATCACATCATTCAAGTGTAATGAAAGCAGCGACCTGCCATGTGACCAAAACCTGAATTTGAACTGCAATACACTCGTTTGCAGGCTGGTCTGGTTGTGCTTTTTGGAAAATAAATTCCCACTTTATTTCAACTTATCCGACTCTTCCACATTCAAAATGCTTTCCAACCATGAAACCCTGTGTTTATCTAGTATGCAGATGACATTTAAGCAAAGGTGAGGTAAGGACATGATTTGATTAATTTTCACACATCCGTAGAGGGAAGGAAATGCAGACACGTACTATCTATAGGAATGTAGCTTGTGCTAAACCCTTCTGTGCTGTTACCATTGAAAATACAACATCAAATTAACCTTGAATGATAAAAATCACAGCTTGAGAGTCACTTTTATACATTTCCCCCCAAAACTGATCTTACGTCATTAACCAAACTACAAAGTGCTGCAGGGATGACGCAATTCTGTAGGCCAAAACCTAAAAATGCTGGTTACGTCACCCTGAAGTCAATGGGAATTTTGAATGTGTTTTTGGTTAAATGCCTGAAATAAGGGTCTGTGGTGAACACAAGCTCAAGATATGTTCACGTTTTATTCTATGAGACAAATAAGTAACTTTTTTTCTTTTTTTTTTTTTAAAGCTTTTATTTATCTTGAAAAAGGCAGATGTTAACAAGTATCTAAATGGGACTACAGTGGTTTTTTGGAAATTAAATATCATCACGCCAAACAAGTAAACTCATCTACTCAGTCGCTTTTACAGCCTCAGTGTGTTTATAATTGAGCTCTTGCAAACTATTCTAACTCAAACTTTCCAGGAAAATGTTTTCAAAATGTTGAAGCTTAATGGTGGTGATGTTGAAGTCATGCGACCACTGTAATCCACTTATAGCCTACGTTTAGCTTTATACTTCTGGCAATTGGATTTAGGCTTCAAAATTCATTAAAGTTGTGTTCATTTGTGAAGCTTATGATGAACAAAACATGTAAGATTCATAAACTTTTGTTGGTCACAGAGCATATTTTCTGCAATAATCCAAAATCCAATGGAATAATCTTATTGGGTTTTTGTTGAGGGAACCAAGGTGATTAACTTTCAGGTTGGCCTTAAAAATGAACAATCACTGCAGCACTCCACTACTAAATTTCTATTGTAATATCTCTAATTCTAGTATTTATGATGCCATGAAGTTTCTCGCTGATGATTAGATCAAAATGGCCCTCAACAGCACAGTAGGGTTTTCAAGCCTGTGAGATATACATGACGTGATGACATTAAGAGCAAAATGGAGACACACAAATCTCCCAGAGAAAAAAGCTTAATAAGACAGACCAGAGTAAAGTTAAGACATTGGGAAGGCACAAACATAGCATCAACTCTCCTTGTTTACAGTGCACATGATAGTAGCTCAGTTCTTAATGAAAGCGTACTCAGTCCATCTCTGCCTTGAAGGTTGCAGATTGGAGATTTCATCTCGACAAGAGACGGCTGGTAAGGCAGTGCATTTGAGAAGACCGAGAACAGTGCACCATTGCTGACAAAAAAAAAAAAAAAAAAAAAAAAAAATTAAACACCAAAAAAGCGGCCCCAAAAAAGCTTCGGGTTACGGGGTT